GCGGAGCCGGGGTGGCTGACGAGAAGGAATGGTATGCGAGGAAGAGGACTCGGAGATTTTGTGATTGCTATTCGTCTTCAAACATGTTGCTGTCTGAAGGGTTGAGGATGAGCTTGTTCTCCGTGGTTCAAGGTATTCGTTTTTGTGTTTCCTGTCTGACGCCGATCATGTGGAAAATGAGTCAAGGAGGGAGTGAATGGATAAGGTGTGCTTAAGTAAGTTTGAGTGGAAATGAGATGAGTGCAGGGCGTGGTCTTTGTTCCCAAACCTAGTTATAAAACTTAATTTATTAATGAATGAAAACACACCTATGAAAACCTATTTCCTTTCTGACAATAGATCCTCCTAAATGGACCTTTAACACATTTAAGGAACCTCAGACATTACAAAATAGTGATATGTGCTTAAAAATTATACAGCAGATATAACAATATAAAACTAACTTACTTTGCATGGACATCATCTCCATCCACTGGTACCACTGCCTTCACTGACCTCTGACCTGCAAAGAAAGAGAGGAATCATAAATAGGATTGCCTACAAGATTCAAGCTAATCATTTTCTGGAGGATTAAGGCTTTAATCGCCATGTTTTGCAAAGCGTGTTAAGGAATTAGTTCTTCTCACATTCCTCCAAGAAATACACTCACATACTCTATATATGTGCATAGTTCATCAGAGAGGTAAATCTGTTTTTGTCCACCCCTTCACCAATCAGTCCAAATTCATGTTGCTCAGCACACTAGTGCACAATATAGCAAGTAAAAGACACATTCAAACCATAAAGGTAATGTTTCTACAGTAGCCCAGAGAGGACTAACCAAACGCTGGCTCCTTCGAACTTGGAAGGGGAGGGTGAAACAAGGGAGTTGCAGTCTGCAACAAGATGCCACTAAATCCTACACACTGGTCCTTTAAGTGGTGAAACATAAGTTTACCTGTATTGTATAGCAGTCATCATAGGAAATATATGTTTCCAGGTGAGCTTAAGACTGACCTCTTGCTATTGTAATTTTCTGCAGTTTTTGAATGTGGATTTGTTTGAATTGTTGCAAGGAGTAATGGAACAAGAAGGATCAGCCACATTGAGCGGTTCAATAAAGAGTAGCGGGTGACAGGCACACCTTCAACTTCTTAACGAGGTAACCAAAGTTACTTTCACTGTCGCTGTTCATAGGCTCATGTTATGTGCAGCATGAAATCAGATCAGTTTCTTGCAGAATGATGAAAGGCC